GTGTGTGCCTGAGTGAGCTTGTACCCTTGTCTGAGCGGTGACATCACCCCAGAAGTCAGTGATGTGCCTGGGGCTTCAAACAAAGGGGATAAAACCGCTGTGGATATATGTGACCTGACAGCTTCACACTCTGGCACACACACACACACACACACACACACACACACACACATAAAAGAAGAAAGAAAGAGAGACATACAGGCATGTACAGTGCACACATACACTATTTCTAGGTTTTAGCAACATGTTAATTATGATTGAAAAGAATTAGATGCCATTGTGTATTTATGTGTGTGTGTGTGTGTGTGTGTGTGTGTGTGAGCACTGTTTTTGTTTTGGATTATATAGTTGATATGGGCCCAATGAGTCAGTTTGATTCACACATGTATGTAACTGCACAGTTGTCTTTTAATAGAAGTGAATATTGTCTCTTGTGTCACTTTGAGGAAATATGATTCCAATGAGTCACGTCAATGAGTCATTACTTCCGCTTATTGATTGTCTTCCATTACTGAAATGAAAGAATTATTGATGGGACCACCCCCATTTTTGTGAATGTGTGTGTGTGTGTTTTCCAGGAACATTTGAGACATATTGGGCCAGAGGAGTTTGTCCAAGCCTTTGTTCAGAAAGACCCGCTAGATGGAACCCAGGTAAACTTTTATTATGAGTGTTTATAAATTATTTTTCTGTGTCACTATGATTTTCAGGAGCAATGCACATGTAGAAATTCTAAGATTTGTTTTGTGTATGTTTTGTCATATCAGTAGAAACCCATAGTCTACCCTGAGGTCAAAGCACAGCATTTCTTATTTCATATTTTCAGTTTTGTTTAGTTTGAGAAGCTGTCACAGTAAAAAAAAAAAAAAAAGCATCAGCAAAAGCCTTGTGGTTTCACAGACAGCACATAATTGTAACATCACAAGCAAACACACAAGGGCTTTATCTGCCCTCTATGTATAACTGTTGAATGCTTTTACTCTCTCTTCTCCCACTGTCACTCGTTCTCTTTTCACTGTATTGTCTCTTTCACTCTCCTCCTCTGCTTTTGACCTTCCCCTATGGTTTTTCTCGTGAACTCCATTGATCGTGTTAGTTTTCACTCCCGGCTCGCTGTCTTTGACATTTACACTCACACAGGGGGGTCTGTAGATAGGAAGCTAATTAGGGACAGATGAATTCCCTATGGTAGCACGCCCTATACTGACTGTTATTTGCGTGCGCTTGTGTGCATGTGTGTGTCGTCAGCAGCCATGCTTCAGTGACCAGAAGAAGAAAACCTCCAACCTGGAAGCTTATGTCAGGTGGTTCAACAGACTGTGTTACCTGGTAGCTACTGAGATCTGCATGGTGAGTGGCAAATGTTGGTACTCCAGGTGCTCAGTTTTTCATAACATTAGAAGCAAACAAACAGCACACAAAATATCTTATTATACCAAAATATGAACATTATGTTTATATGTATTGTATGAACAGTCCCCAAGACATTAGGAACATTTATCCTGTCCACAAAATAGGAAAACCCAGTGCTAAAAAAGCACTTTAATCATGAAGTAGACATGAATGGGAGGAGACATTAGAAAGATGCTGTTGTGCCACTATACAGGCATACCTGAATGAACATTTTGGAATATATGCACGTTCAGATTTTATATTGTATAGTCGTCCTGTATTTTACATAAAACAATTCCCTCAAAAATGTAATATTGTAGTAGTATTTCATTCTTGTGAACAAAAAGAGGGGCAGCAGATAAAGACTGTTTAGTTTTCACAGAGCATCACTGCCCCCTAATGGTGATATTGTGTTACTACACAGTCACTTGCATGGTTAGTTTAACAGTTTGTGCCAGCACTTGTAGAGATAAATACCTTTCATTGTGAAAAAGTAAGTAAATATATTAAAAAAACTCAATACAAGTCTGTTTTTTGCAGCCAGCGAAGAAGAAGCAGAGGGCCCAGGTGATAGAGTTCTTCATCGACGTTGCCAGGGAGTGTTTCAACATTGGAAACTTCAACTCCCTTATGGCCATCATCTGTGAGTGTCATTTTATGGTATCTGAGAGTATTATCATTGACAAATCACCGGCATGACCTGGTATTAATAGCTGAAATCCATTTCCTCCCGTAGCCGGTATGAACATGAGTCCCGTTTCACGGCTGAAGAAGACTTGGGGCAAAGCCAAGACTGCCAAGTTCTTCATTCTCGAGGTAAACACAATCCAACTATTCACCGACAGAAGTACAAGACAGGTAATAACTTGAAGTTGACAGTGTATTGCTTGTTGCCATTTGCTTTGACAGCATCAGATGGATCCTACAGGAAACTTCTACAACTACAGGACAGCCCTGAGGGGGGCCGCCCATCGCTCTCAGACTGCCAACAGCAACAGAGAAAGGGTAGGGCCTCGTTTCACATCGCTGCCAGTTCTCTGAAATCAATTATTTACTTTTCGCATCAGTATTTCCTATATCTTTCTGCCTGTTTTGTCTCCTCAGATTGTGATTCCCTTCTTCAGCCTGCTGATCAAAGACATTTACTTCCTGAATGAAGGATGTGCCAATCGGCTGCCCAACGGCCATGTCAACTTTGAGGTGAGCCAGTCCTTTTTTTTTTTTTAGCTCCTGACCCTGCCTCATTTAACCATCCTAAAAAACATTTAGTCATTGTAATCTTGTTCCTTAGAAATTTGTGGAGTTGGCACGGCAAGTTGGGGAGTTCATGACTTGGAAACAAGTGGAGTGTCCATTTGAGGAGGATCGGGCCATCCTACACTACCTCCACACTGCTCCCATCTTCAGTGAGGACGGTGAGAGCCTGTTTTTACTTCAGAAACGTCTCTGCACACTGTTGATCCAAGTATTTGTTTGTGATGGTTTGCTCTTACTAACCTCTTTACATATTTACTGTTTATTTTCTCATTCTTTACCAGGACTCTACCTCGCATCCTATGAGAGTGAGAGTCCAGAGAACCAGGTAGAGAAGGACAGATGGAAAGCACTCAGGTAAAAATTATAACACATGTCAAATCAGAGATGCTGTTGAGTGTAAATCAACGCACCGTCCTTCATCATCTCTTTTCTGCCATCAGGTCTAACGTTCTGGGAAAGACATGAGGCACTGACGGCAGCTAACCCTCCCACCAGCGAGGGAGCATGTGTTCTCGTTGCACTAAAATGAACTGTGAAGGAACCTAGCTGGTACTTAGGTGTTTTTCTATGAAGAAATGATGAAGAAAAAAAAAGAAACATGATGAACGGGATTCATCAAGAAAAGTGTAAAAAAAATAAAACATCACAATAAAAGTGAATTGAAATCGTTAAGCTATGGACACTGCAAATTGCCTTTGCAGCATATCAACTATCAGTGATGAGGTCCAGTATGTTGGGAGAGGAATACAGCCTCTCCTGCCCCCCTTCCCTCGATGTGTGTTTACTCTGTGAAGATATGTTTACTACTATAGAGAGTACAGTTACAGGGAAAACCACTTTATAAAATGAAATTCCTACTGATGCTATCGTTGGTTTTTTTTGTATTTGCTCCTTCTATCTCTCTGTTCCCCTTTGGCCCAAAGCCTTGCTTAGGTATTTAAGTTAACTTTTTTCCCCTTTACTTGTAATGTACTGTAATGAAACTTACAATGATGTGAAGGGCGCTGGCTAGCCCATATCAGCTGTCAAATTTTATAGGTCTACTGAAGGAATGGCAACTGTGTGAATCTGGGATAACAGAAAAGGACGGGCCTTGAGCATTTTAGCAGTTCATCTCACGTGTACTTTTAATGTGTGTTTGTGATCCAGATGTTTGATGCATTCCTGTCTGTTCAGATTGCCACTGTCTTGTTTTGCATGAGAATGACTGGAGAAGCCTTTTTATTGCTTATCTCTTCTTGTTTTTTTATTTATTGTATTTTATTCTAGGGAAAAAGTGTCGGTTGGGTAATATGAACTGTTTAAAAAGTGTTTACTCCTTTTTAATGTATTGTGCCATTAATGCAAGACAACTACAGTATAATTTAACAGTTACAAGGCCAGGTGTAGATTGTGTACAGGTGACATTTACCCCTCATCTTTCTGCTCTTCAGGAAGTTTTCTCTGACTGACGTTCAGTTGGCTGATATATTTATGGAGATTTCTGTGCTGACAGATGTATAGTTTTTATTGTAACTTTCCTTTACTGAATATGAAGTCCAATGGCATGCTATGACAGGTGTTTTTAAAGGGGCATTAAGCGTATCCACCTTGTAAAGATTACTACTGCAACACAAACTTTGTAGTCCTGATTGCGTTGTTGCATTCTGTGGAAGGACAATTATCAATTGGAGACTTTTGTCTTTCTATAAAGTAGAGGGAAACTTGTGCCATATGAATCATTGCTTGTCATGACCATTCAGGTTCCTCTGACTTGAAATGTGTTGTTTATCGTTTTGTGGGAATGTCACTTAGCTTTGTTTTTTTTTGGCAGTTTTGTTGTGATTCGGGAGCTATTTTTAAGGGTGGGTGATGGGAGGAGAGGAGGGTTACGGGGAAGGGATGGGAACTGTGTAATTATAAGCTTTTTAAACAACAGTCTTATTCAGTTTGCTATAATTGATTGATGTCAGTGTTTTCTCTTAAGAAGCACCTTTCCCTCCCAATAACAGACTTTAATTCTCCCTCCTCATTTGTCATCAATAAACTTGCTTTCCCTGTAACACATTCCCCAGATAAGTTAAGACTATAGAGAGCCAGAGATGTGAAGTGAAACCTGCCATTCCAGGTGAAGACATGTTTTAATAAAACATTGCTTGTGTTGAACACGTGTTTTCAATGACAATCTCCTTCATTACATCAGTTTTACTCTTTTTAACGGGGTGATCGCACTGCCATCTTTGAATTTTTGCTTACACATGTGTACATTGCTGTGTGCAGTTCAACAAGTGGAATGCATTCAGTGTTTTTCATGGTTAGTGAGGCCAAGCGGACACTTTTGGCTCCAACATCACGGAAACATTTGTGACTCGTTCCTTAAAAAAAGCCTTTAATAAAAGTCAACCATGCTTAGTTGATTGCCTGCAGTTGATTTTGTTTATGACACGCTTGATCTAAGCATTGCACTGACTATGAATTCACACAGTCAGGGTTGATGTACAGCCTCTACCTCATTTGCATGTGGATGTGGATTAGGTAGGAAAATCCACGTGAATGGATGAGCACATAAGATTTAATCTGCAATCCAGGCAGATATCGAAGTCAAGATAAATTCAATCAACAGAGCCAAAGCATTATCTCTGAAGGGGCTGCAACTTGCTCACAATTATTTTCCTTTTTCTTTCAATAAATCTTTCAATTATTTTCTAAATTACCAGTATTTTGTCTATAACATGTTAAAAATGGTGGAAACTGCCCAACACAATTTTCCAAAGCAAGATATTGACTTTAAAATGCAATGTAACAAACAAAAGGAATAAGCCACACATTTGAGATTAGGATGAATATGATGATAATAGATTATAAAAAAATGTTGCTGACTATTCTTCTATGGATGACTAATCCAATAATTGTTTCAGACCAATTTAAAGAACATACTGATTAGGATTATGCCATATTTGTATAGCAGTGTTATCTCCTTAATGAATGAAAGCAAGTGTTACCAAAAATCTGTTTAATGTTAACTTTGACACACAATATCAGAGACGCAGCCCATACTTAATTGTAATCTGTAAGTCCATATTAAAGCCTAAATAACACAGTCGTTGTGAATCAAAGCAAAAAAAAAAAAAGGTTTATTTTAAGGTTCAATTCAAAGATTTTAGTCTTTAAGTTCTTCTCCGCCTGCGTGAAATGTCATCTCGGCCAGTCTGGTGTAAGTGTCAAAGTCCCTGTTGGCCAGGTAGGTGCCGAAGAAGGCCTGGAGAAACAGCACTGGCCTCATCCTCCTCAGGACCGGTTTGGAGATGTCCATCCAGTACCGGAGCAGGTTGCCCTTCTCTGGCATCGGTGCTGTGTTGTACCTGGCTGCGAGGCCCATATTCACAGGTAAGGCCAGGAGGATGGGGTACACCCCACCGCCCACCACGCCAACAAGTAAACCTCGAAACAGGACACAGGTGGGACAGTTAAGGTCACCGGAGAGGAGGGGGTTGGACACCGTTGCGCTGTACAAGGCAAAAGTTGTGAGGAAGGGCAGGACGGCCATCGGCAGGTTGGAGCTGATGCGCGCCTCTCTGACATTCAGAGCTCGGCGATAAAAGCTGTTGGACAGCACTCCTGCGAGCCCAGCATTTCCCCCCAGATACATGTGTCCGTAGACGAAGATTTTCTGATCAATGTCGGGCAGCTTCTCGAAATTCTTCGCCAGCATTTCGGAAATAATCGCTCTGGTGTGCGCCTCTCCGGAGACGCGCTCTTTCTGCGTATTATCCAACATCTTCAAGATTCAGTGTTTGAACGAAGCCGACGCTGTTTGAACGATAGATCCTTGTTTACAACTGGGTGAACTGAGTTATCGCATAGAGGTTAGGCGGTCCGAGCTCATGACAGGGCGCAGACATGTCTTACCCACAATTCAAAGCTCGCAAAATGGGTTTTTTCTGCCCCTGAGTCAGGCGTCTCAGGAAGAGCTCCCCTGCTGTTTATATGGGGGGTTCATTTCAAACGCCTTTCTTAATATCCCAGATTCACTGATATTGTATTTCCTCCCAGAGAACACAATAACACTATTAACAACCTATTATTATTCTATTATTTTTTTTTACTGTATGTGCAGATCGACATGTGCTAAACTAAAAAATAAAAAATAATAAAAGTCACGTGGGAGTGGGCGTGGTTTATTGTGCGTCGCGTCATGGAATCTGTTCCAGAACGTTCGAGCAGGAGAGTTCGCCATCTTTGAAGACGAGTAACAGAGGAAACCGCATTCTCTTTGTTGATACATTTAACAACAAAAACCCGATAAAACTACTCTTCCGAACCTCGGAATTGTTAGGAGGAAGGTAAGAGCAATCCTTTACACCAAATCCAGTCGCCAGCGTGTTCGTCTAACGTTAGCCAGTTAGCTTTTTGTGAAATAGGACGTCTCGACAACATGGCAGCTGGTTGTCTGGTTGAACGGCTTCGGGTAAATACGAGAGTTTTATTTCCTTTTAAATATTCTCAGCTGGCAAAATGAAGGTGCTTTTTACAGCTAGGGTAGAAGTGAACGACCTACACATTTCGCTCTCACACTTATATGTCCGATAAGTTGCGTAGTGTAATAGCTGAGCTGGCGTTAATGTTGTGTAATGGGTGGCTCGGTTAGGCCTTCAGGGTCGAGATCAGGAAAACACTCGACGACTTTCTGCTTTATCTCTTCATCTCTAGCCTGTTGAGTGCTCACAGTCCTAACCCGAAGTACCACACGTAGAGTTGTGAATTGCCGTATGTAAATGAAGCATTTTGATAAAACATGTGGACGATGTCAGCCCGTTAAAGGCCTCCAGCTGACCTCAACATTAATGTTAACCCTCCCCCCACTTTAGATATAATTTATCTGTTGTTTGATGCTCGCCCAGGTTTTTATCAGTCAATATTAACTTTAAGCAAGTTGCCTGGACGTTATATAGTGTGAGAAAATACGTGTTTTTGTTTAGTTGCTGATGGCTCTCGCAGGTATTGCATTGCGCAGAATCAACTTTATTCCTGTTGTTTGTTTGCAGTCACTTAATTACGCAATAACGAAACGTAGCTGATTTGTTTTGATAACTTTTAACAACCAATGATCTTTTTCATGTTCATACTTTGCTGGTGGGTTTTTCTCCAATAATATAATTTGGTAACTTACCATGAAGAAAAATGAAAACGATGAATCAACCAGAATGATTGCAGATTACATTTCGATCCATCAACACGTCTCTGATCGTTTCATCTCCACTTGCTTCATGATTTACCTTTACTTTATAACGTACCTTTGCTGGTAAACACTGCTCCACTGCAGCTGACTGCAGCCACGTGTAACGCTGTTGTGCATTGGGGGAGGGGTATCTCCAGAAATCCTATTTGTAAAGCTGCAAGTCAGCAGTCAGTGGCTTTGAAGACATTGATTGACAAATATGATCTAATGTGTCAGGATTCAGTGAAATGATGCCGTGTTGACTCGTTCTTCCATGTCTTTCAGATGCGCCACTCAAAGCGAATGCGCTCCCCAGGCGTCTGGCTCGACGAGTACAGCTGGGAAGAGAGAATGGACTGTCGCAAACGAAGGAGACGGGATTCGCACAGCAGCGAGCGAGAAAATAAGTCCAGAGGAACTCAGCGTCACCACAAGACGTTTGAGGGGTAAATGTCTCACCCAGTACCAGCTGAACAGTATAGAAGTAAACTGCTGGATCATGTAATGGAGCACTACAGTGTCGTATATCTATTGACCTTCTGTAGGAAAGCTGTTCATATATCTAAACTTTTGTTAAATATCGGGATGAAACAAATGTCCATCTGTAGTTTATCTGTGTATGAGCTGTTGATATCAGAAATGCTGTAAATCTTAACAGGAGCAATTGCAGTAGTGACACTGGTTAAATTGGGGAGCAACTATTTCCAAATGCACATCGGTTAGGGCTTTAAAAATATCCAGTCTGCATCCTATTGAGCTTTAATGGAGAACTCCATTTATACCGTTGCTAGGTTTCTTTGTTTCAGTGTCTTGTGTTGCCGTGTGTGTGATGAACTTCCAGTTAGTCTAGAAAGGATTCAGATTTATAAACAACTTGTGCTCCATATCGAAGAGTTGTTTTCTACAATGTGCACTCACTGTCTTATAACTCTTCTGTATAACTTCCAGTGTTTGTTTTCTTCTTCCTTTATATGAATCTTTTTGCTTTTAAACGATGACTGTAACTTTGCAGTCTCAGTGTCATTTGCTGAAGATATTTGCAAAGTTCTGTGAGTCTTTACTTTCCGTGGGCATGTGTGATGACCCATGGGGTTACATTAGATGTTTCCAGATCTACTCTAATTTTAATTCTGTAGAGAGGCAGACTTCTTTTTGGAAGACAGCTGACACCCCTAGGGTGCTCGGTCTCTGGGGGTTTCTTGGCCTTTTTTAGATGCTTAGGTGCTAACATGGCCTGCTGGTGGATGCGCTCAGTGCTGGAAGTGATTGGAAACATTCTAAGCAAACGCTATCTTAGTGAGCAAAAGAGTTAGAGCAGGAAATGTCGGAAGGTAATAAGAATTTTTATGTAAGGAATAAACCAGTTCCCTTGGGATCTTTTTAGATGTTGGCATTTCATATTGGCAGAAGTGGCACCACATAGATTTTCACTTCTGGCATACATAATGCTGCAGGTGTAGAATCACAGATCGTATTACGCACCATCAGGTTGTGCCGAAAAGCTTTATCCAACTTTCAGTGCCTCACACTTCACCTCTGCCAACGGCTCACTGTCAAAGTTTTAAGGAAGGCATGCTTTCGGTTGCCAAGGAGACAGCTGTATGAATGCTAAAAATTGTCCAAATGTGTGGCATTGCATTAACTCCGCAATTGGCATTTGCGTGCTCCCTAAAGTAGTATTTGCACGGTGATAATCCATTAATAAAATGCTTTCTGAAGTGCAGCCTCTCATTGAACAGGATGCTCGGTGTTCGGTGGCTGTAAATCAGTATGTTGCTAATTACAAATGTTACATAAAAGGCTCAGGAGATAGAGTGTCAGGCAATAGGCGGACCATTAGCACCATCGTACAGTCTTCATTTCAGTGCTTGATCAGACAAGGAACTGACCTATGCTCTCTAGTCTCGGTTGTTGACGTGTGTGTGTGTTTTTTTGACTGCAGGCATTACCTGGAGACCCGCAGTTTGAACCAGAGACTGGACTCTCGGGAGGGACACTGTTTGGACATGGCCTGTGAGGACGATAGTCGCGAAGGCACTTGCAAGGACAGAGATCCGGACTGGCACCACTACAGCAAGTCATCCGGGCGTAGCGGTCGCAGCAGGCGAAGCAGCCGCAGGCACAGAGACAGAAGGCGCAGACGCAGCCACTCTCGCCACAGGTCCTCCACGGTACGAGAACCTCCTTCTCCCGCTCCCCTCTACCCCCCTCTACCCCCTCTCGTGTCGTCTATACCACCAAATGGAATGGGTCATTATCGCTGGTGTTTAGCCAATGCTTAACACCAGTCTCTTTGTCTCTCTGTGCTCTACTCTTCTATTAGCATGATTTCCAGTAATGGATAGGGGACTTGGGGGCTCAGGAAGTAAGGGATTGTGAGTGTTTATAGATTTGCAAGAGAAAAGTGGACCCTGTATTTGTGCTGAAATCTTAGTGGGCAGTTATGGGACGTGATGGTAAAGAATTACGCTGTATAGGAAGATTTACAAAGAACCACATGTAGAAAGACTGTAATCAATCAAGTTCAGTTTTTTCTGTACTACTCTGAGAAAGTCTCTCATCTGAAAATCTTGTTGCCATGTTTTTCTTCTGTAACACACACTATGTGGTGGCTGGCGCCCATTTTCTCTGACGGGGCTGAATTTGAATTTGCTGCTCCGTCCTTCCGTCCATTCGCCTGGCGGTGTTACTGAACGGGCCGAATCTATCCACCCCTTCACCTCCCCCCCTTGGCCTGGTTGAATGAATGACGATGTCGCATTGTGGTGGCCTGGTGCTGGCTGACTGATGGGTTATTGATGTGATGGCGGATTGCGGCGGTTCCGGTGCAGAGGAGGAGCCATCACCGCAGGAGCAGGAAAAGATCCAGGAGTGTTGAGGATGATGGCGAGGGTCACCTCATCTATCACACTGGAGACATGCTGAGAGCGAGATGTATAGAATATATACTTTTTTTTTTCTACTGTTGTTCACACTTTGTCTCTCTCACTCTCTTGTCTGGTTTTTATTTCCAAACATAAATTTAGAGGCTGAAATATTTGGGCCAATAGACTTAATTTTCTTTGGTTAGATATTGCTTGTCAGTGTAACATATTGAGTTGTATGCCAGTGTTCAGAAGCCTGTTATAGTAGTGTAGCTAAACAGAGCAATGTAACATCTGGCAGTGAACCAGCCAAAGGGCAGTGTTTCACCATGTCAGTGCCGTGTTTCTAACTTCAGTTCTCTATTTTCTGTAGATGAGATTGTGTGTACTCTAGGAGAGGGTGCCTTTGGGAAGGTCGTCGAATGCATTGATCATTCTAAGTAAGTATGAATCCGATAATACTCGTAATAGCTCGATGTATTGAATATATTTTTCGTACTCACTCAAATATTACAAATATTTTGTGTGTTTCACAGTGATGGAGCTCGAGTGGCTCTGAAGATCATTAAAAACATAGACCGCTACCGTGAGGCAGCTATGTCTGAGGTAGAGGTGCTTGAACAGTTGAAGACCCTTGACTCTGATAGGAGATAGTAAGTCCATCCACCGGAACTTAAAACCACAACAGCCTGACCACCTTGCAGTTATCACATATGAAAATATGCTTAGAATTTGCCGTGCAAGAAACTTACTTTGTGTCTTCTATACCTTCTCTCCCCTTTAGTTCTTGTGTACGCATGCTGGACTGGTTTGACTACCACGGCCATGTTTGTATTGCCTTCGAGCTGCTTGGCCTCAGCACCTATGATTTCCTCAAGGAAAACAACTTCCAGCCTTTCCCCATAGAACACATCAAGCACATGGCTTACCAGATCATCCGAGCTGTGCGATGTGAGTAATGGACACATGCAGGCAAAGAAAATAGCGAATGTTTTTTTTTAAACTGCCCGGTTTGAAACGTATGTGATCTTGTCTTCCAGTTCTGCACAAGAACAAGCTGACCCACACAGATCTGAAGCCAGAGAATATTCTCTTCATTGATTCAGACTATGATATGGAGTACAACCCTGGCATGGTAAGTGTCTTCAAGAATATGCTGAAAAGTCATTCCAGCTGAAGTCCAAAACTTGTTTGTGCCAGCAGCTGTGAGAGTAGCATGACTGTGTTTTTGTCCTCAGAAACGGGATGAACGAACACTGAGGAACCCAGATGTGAAAATTGTGGATTTTGGTAACGCTACGTATGATCACGAGCACCACACCTCTGTGGTGTCGACACGTCACTACCGTGCTCCTGAAGTCATTTTAGGTACGTTTCTGTTTTAAAGCACTGCACTAAAGCTTCAAATGGATCCTTTTGGTGGCGATTTTTTTATTAAGTTAACATTTTATCTTTCAGATCTGGGCTGGGACCATTCCTGCGATGTGTGGAGTGTAGGCTGCATACTCATTGAGTATTACCTCGGGTCTACTCTCTTCCAGGTATGTGGCAGAACAAATAATGAAATTAATGCTGTGACAATTACAATGGCCCAGATGGTTTATATTGTTTTCTCCTTTAGACCCATGACAGTAAGGAGCACCTTGCTATGATGGAAAGAGTCCTCGGCCCCATCCCCACAAACCTCCTGCAGAAAACCAAGTAAGTTGACCACTAACTGGCCTGTTTTTTAACATTTCTGTCAGAAAACAAAATTAATGTAGGCCACCTGAGGATAAGCTCCATACGGAGTTAATTGAATTGTTATGATTTGTAATCAATTCTCAATCATTGTGTGCTGTACAGGAAACAGCGGTATGTCAACCGGTGCAGGCTTGACTGGGATGTCCACAGCTCTTCAGGGAGATATGTCAGGAAACACTGCAAACCCCTCAAGGTAAGAGGAATACCACTGGAGACACTGCTGCCCACCATTTATTATAAAATGCAGAGCATTTTAAAGAGAATTTGTCCTTTGTTTCCCATTAGCATTACATGGTGTCTAAGAGCGAAGACCACCACCAGCTGTTTGACCTGATAGAGAAGATGATGGAGTATGACCCAGCTAAGCGCCTCAGTCTGGAGCAGGCCCTGCGACATCCCTTCTTCTCCTGCTACCGCAAGACCAGCCACAGTAGCAAAAGCAACAGCAGAAGCAGCAGCAGCAGCAAAAAAGACAGAACCTCTGAACCTGTATAACTCTGACCTGTAACCTTGGTCAGCCTGGCTGTCAACATGACATTTATCATGCTGCTCGCTGCCAGCCTCCACTTCCTGACTCTCCAGGAGAGCTGTACCTTAACTGACTGTATCAGTCCACTGCCCTGCTTTGCTGTGTTATGTTATAAGCCAGTGTGTGTTAGTGTCTCATCAACAAGTTGTTTTCATCTGTGGCATGTTTTGATGTAATGAATACCCCAACTGTTTTCTATTTATTTGCCATTGTAATTTAATTTGTAGCTTATGAGCAAATACTGCTAAAGCTGTTTTTTTTTTTGGTTTGTTTTTTTATTCATGATAAGCTACATTGTGTCCATGTTCATTCTATGCATTAAGTGGGTAATGGGTTAACATTGAGGTTTGCTTTACCCTGCATCAGTCTCAACAGTAATTATTTGTCCTGGATTGTAGATATATAAAAAAAGCTATTGCGGGCAGAAAATCCTTGTATATAGAACTTAAGATTGTTTTTGTTTTTTCACTGACTGGTTATGTAATTTTTTGCAGTATCGTGTACAATTTCTCAATAAACGTGAACAGACGACAGAAATGTGTCTTATGTGTAAAGTTGTGAATGAGTGAGAGGTTCCATAAAGGTGCAGTAGCTGCACCAAACCGCAGGGTGGCAGTAAAAAGCTTTTATTTCGCTGCAAACGTACCTGAAGTACAATGTATCACGTGAGGGTATCAGCTTTAACTTAAATCTATATCAATTATATATGTAATTGTAACCTAATATTAAATAATATCGAATATTTACCTGTCGTGAGATTGCATCCTCCCTACTGTTTGTTAAACAAACAAGTATGCATTATAACTACACTGATTGAGGGTGAAAGTAGAAAGTCTGACAACAAAAAGAACTCAATACTCCAAATTGTATCATCAGACTTCAGAATGAGGGACCACCAGTACCAGCCTGTCTAAACACTGTCCTTACTTTCTTCCCTCCCGCAATAAAGCCTACTGTGCGCAATATGCGCTCCCTATTGACAGTGCACGGCGACATACATTCTTTTAAAGTGACTCTAAAGTGTCATTATTTGTTCACACTTCACAGTTGCAGGAAACATGAACCAAAACCCTTAAATAATTCAGCAAATGTCGTAATGTATCACACCAACAAGACGCAGCCACTGTTTTTAGTTGTTCTTATGAGTTTCAGTCGACTACAGTGGGTTTGAAAATATTGGATGAAAAGTGACATTAGCTGCAGGGACCGTTTGCGGTATTGAACTGAGGTCTCTGAGAGCGATCAGAAGTCGACCGAGACAAACCCTCACAGTCTCACCCACAGTCTCACTCACAGTCTCACCCACAGCTGTCAATCTGCAGCCTCCCACGTGGTCAGCAGGGCGGGCGCATCTCAACTAGTTGAACATGCAACTTTTAGGGAGGCAAACAATTGGACCCATTGGTAGTTGCAATTGCACCTCCATGCAGGATACTCCCCAACAAGAAACAACGACCTTGAAGTTAGTAAGCGCCTCTTCTCTGGTTGGCATCCAGATCGCTCCCATCTGTGCCTTGCGTAAACCCGGTGCGCACTGCTGCTGCGTCTTGTTCAAGACTAATTTAAGACAGCGCTTTGAACCCCGAGTCTAGTGTTCTGGAGTTAGTGAATGTGTTAGATTCCCTTCTTAGTTAGTGCACGGAGCCTGATTACATTTTGGCTGCAGAACTAAACCAACAAAAACAAGTTGTTTTCTTTTCATCAAGAGGACTCTGAAGCAGGATTTCAGCATGGATACAGCCAACGGCTCCAACGGGAAAAGTAAGCCGGTGTGTCAGTGTGCGCCCAAGTCCGCGGTCCAGCGGTGGCTCCCAGGTTTCCCCGTCGCTTTGTGCTTGCTGATGTCCCTGAGCTCCGTCACCGTGTGTCTTCTGATGAGCTTCAAGACCCAGCAGCTGGAGTACCGACTGCAGATGGAGATGAACAAAGCGTCCGTATTCCACCCGCCGCACAGGGCTTTTCTAAACGAGGATGGGACCCTAATTCCAGAGCTGAGCGCCCCAATAGGAAGGCTTGTGGACGAGGTACTTGACGGCAATTGTGGATTCAGTTAAAAATTAATTGTCGCCGTTAAATACATAATGTGTTTGTGAACCTCGGACAGACGCACTGCGCGTCTGTGCGTAAAGTGTGCGTAATAACAAGGAACATGTGCAGGGAGGTTTAAAAACACAGAGCCATGGCACTTTTTGGCAATTGCACCCTAATTATTTCCCCTAAAATCAGTCCTTTTAATGCATGACCTTAAGGATGAACCATGCACGCAGCTGGCCAATTAGTTTGCAGTTAAAGCTCTTTATAGGGTGACATAACCACTGATGATAGACAACCTATAATTTCATCACATGGAAAAGAAATTGAAGAAACTCATTTTATTTTAGAGCCTGTGTGTAATGGTAGAAAGATTATGATCTCATTATTGTTATTGGTACATTATTTTCATCATATTTCATTCTCTGACATTTTTTTGCTTAATGTTTTTTTTTAATCTTACACTGGAATTTGCTCTGTGTGTCTGCAGAAAGTGGTGGTGCTGATGCCGAAGTTGAGGACAACTAGGGATGTTGGCCAAGAGTGCTCCTGTCCTCCAGGTATCTGTCTCTGTTCTTTGTAGCATTAGTACCACTTCCCAAAACACACAAACAAGACACTAAAAACCAGTCCCCTATCAGGTCAAAGATACAGTCTAGGCATGACCGACTGCTTGTGGAACCTGATAGTCAGTCTGCATATGATGCTTTTGGCGGCTCTCCTT